GGAAATGAATAGAGGTTTATCAAAGACTTAATGTTCAGAGAGTTGTGGAGATTAGCTGTGAAAGTAACAGGAATGGTAACTCCTCTTGCTCCATCTATTGAGCGATGAAGCTCTCCACACCGACAGATTCCTGATTCCACCTCCTACAGCTCAGGACAGACCTACCAAACTACCTTGTGTCATGTGAGAAATCTATTATTCCGTACCCAGTTTCATTGCGGCTAGCGGCGCTGCCCTAGCTGGCGATGTTGAGCTCCTTCACCTTCCCGAGGATATCATCGAGCCGCTTTTCCAATTTCCCGCTTCTGAAGTCTGCACGGGTCTTGGCGTCCACATGCTTTTGCACCTCATTCAAGTGCCTGTGGTTCTCACTGAAGTAGCGTAGTTGCAACTTCACGAATGCTTCGAACAGCGGATTGAGGTATGAAATCCTGAGGTCCATCAACCGGGGAAGTTCGGACTTCAATTGACCATTGAGTCGCTCGTACACTTCCTCTGCCAGAGCAAGTTGAGCTGTGGTATCCTTCAATTTAATCTCCAGCGCAGGGTCGGCGTCAGGATTGTCAGAAAGCTTGCGAACTTTATTCCGAAGCGAGTCGTAGTCTAGTTTTTTGTGGGCCCGCTTCTTAATGGCCTCGTTCATGTCCACGTAGTAGGAATTGAACCGGTCAATCGGATTGAGCACCGTCTGCAAAAATGGTTGGCCTATACTCTCGAGCGTCTCCGCCGAAATGGACCGAGTGGCTTCATTGTACTCTTTAGCAATGCTTTTTGCTTCAGTATCCTGACCGTAAAAGCCAGCAAGAACGTCACTGACATTCAGCTGGGCTGTAGACAACGAAGCGAGCGTTTCCTTGTAACGCCGAAGTTCCTTGTATAGCTTCTCCGATGACTTCTCCATTGCTCGGTAGCGCTTCTCCTCATAGTCAAACTCCAAGTCGACAGTTTCGTCAATTTGGCCTGCTTTGAGCAACACTTGGTTGCCTGCTCTATTGATGGCTTTCTTGAAGCCAGACCAAGACATTTCGTATGTGGAGTTGATGCAAGTTGATAAAAGATGGGTTTTGTACTCGGGAAAGTAAGCTTCCGGAGACCCCATGGTGAGTATCGCGTGTGTGCAGTACAATCACCATTCAGACACACCTGAGACATGGCTGCGAGACCTCTATGACTTGTCTGTATCAGCGGGCAGGTGCATGATTTGGGTAACAAATTTACCAGAATAGCGAGTAATACAGGCCACGGTGAGCACGTCGTTACGGATGGACGTGGTCATCAAATGGTTGAGAATCACGTGGTTGGGGATCAGTTGGTGCAAGGCCTCGGCGTTGGAAGCATAGTACGAGCTATCGGCACGACGTAAGGCAGGTCTTTTTGCCACTTGAGTAGAGCTGGAACTCGAATTTGATGGATCCAGACCCCCAACTTGAGGAATGTTCTGCGCATGGTTTTGCTGGAAATTCGACAGCATCTTGTTCAAAAGCACATTGTTAAGGTGCGCTGGGAGCTGAGGTGGCTCTGGCAACTCGTAGTCAGGTGCCTTGTTTTTGAAGTAATCGTAGTTGACAAACATCTCGGGAATATCGCTCAGGTACTCGTAGGCACCGGGGCGGCTATGGTCGTTTAAGAATGAGAGCCGCTCATTATAGGACTCGTATTTGTCAGACTCATCAATGTGCTCAACGTGCTCAAAATTAGCCGAATCCTTCGCCTCCTTGGAAACCTTTGCTAAGAACAGGTTCAGCTTTTGCTGAATCACAAAAGTGTCATGCTGGCCAGCCACCTGAATGATATTAGCGTCGTAGGGTGTCAGAGCATCACGGCTCTGGTGCTTCTGGGAGTGATTAAAGAGCCTTTGAGGGTCCAAAATTTCGAACCAATTGAACAAGATACCTTCCTGATCCGTGGCGGTGGGCAAGGATTCGGATACTCTGTACTCGTTATTGACGATATAGAGCAACTTGTGCACACCCAAGGGCAAACTGATGGTGGCCGAGAACTCGTTGGGCTGTGCCGCCAGCGGCTTGAGCTTGATGACGTCACGCCAATTAGAAAAAGATCCAATGATGGAGATCTTGTTGATGTTCTCGCGGGCAGAATTCACCCACTTGATCTCCACTGGAACAAGCTTACCCGAGGACAGGTTGCCATATTCGCCAGCGTAGTTGTGGCCCAAGGCGTCCTGAGCAGGAGATCTTGTCAGAGACCTTCCCAGCGTGACACTTTGCATGGAGTCTGCACGGCTAAAAGCAGGCAGTTGCGTACCTCCAAGACGCTGTGGAGGTCTGAAACCATAGCGTGCGGCAGCTGGTGCAGCCACCTTCGTGAAGTCTACTTTCAGCAAATCACTAGAACTGGCTCCTGTTTTCGAAGACTTGTCAATCGTGTCAACATCCATGCGTTCACCGTCATCCAGGCCCTCAAAAAGCAGACCTTCATTGCCCAGTCCCTCGTAACCCAGACCTTCGTATCCGCTGGCTATACTGTTCACCTCGCTGAGATCCTTCCTAACGTAGTACTGATTCTGATTCTGGACAGCATTGGGACGCCATCCGGGCCGGTTCAGTGCATCCAGCTCTGTGTCCGAGCCCTCATTGGTTGGAATGATGTTTCGCTGGACATCTCCATTATCAGTGCCTAGAAGGCCATCACTCAACTCATTAAACTCGTCCTCGATCAAGTCGTTTGTAAAGTGCTTGTTGGGCTCCAGGTCGTCGGCCAGGTGCAGGAGACCACTGGAGGAGGCCTGTTCTTGTTTCTGTCTTTTCACTTCGTGAAGAATCAAATCGCTGAACTCTTCCTCTAGAATTTGATGGGCATTGTTCTGCGATTGGGACAGTTTGCGCACGCTGCTGTTCCGCACAGCTGCAGCGGACTTACGCGTCGACGACGTGTTGTTTCCCATTCTTTTGGCAAAACTCTAGTGAGACGTATTGGACTAGATAGATAGGGTTTTTAGCAACTGCGATCGTGGGGCCAGTGGGAGTACTATGTACAGGACACCCGTATAATGCCACTGTTGGGCCTATTTTCGAGCTGCTGGTACTACGGTGGGTAGTGGGATTTTTTCTGCTGGACTGGAAATGTAATACTTTCTTTGGATATTTCACCTATCATGCTTGAAACACAAGATAGAGATGGACAGTATATGCAGTACAGACACACCAAACACCCCTAGACGGTGTTTGGAGGCCCCAATCCCACTTCAAACAAGACTGTGATGTCATAAAAGACAAGGAAATACATGAACGTTTTTGAATTTTGAATTGAGTAGCATTGTCTTACTCACAAAGGTGTTCCTGGCGAGTGTAAGTGCTCGGCCAACTTTCCAAATAACCATTGGTGTCATTTTGCACTGTCAAAAGTTAAACTTTCTGAATAACCTTCGAAGTCATAAACGAATCATTTACTCTCGGACCGGGCAAGTGTGGCTGAAGTGGTATGTGCTAGTTTGTGCAGGAGACGTAGAACGGACTCTACAAGCTCAATTGCCGGTTTCCTTCAACATAAGAAGCACAGTGAGATTCTACATCCAAGAATTGCCTAATACTAAGAACCTCTTCAATTAGAGCATCGCCAGCGTAGAATGGAATTGCCCCTCTGACTCCGAAATGGCAGGCACTACCTGCAGTACATCGTTCACCCTGGAAATGAGGTGGGACGCCGCTTTAGAGCTTCTACTAATGTACACGGTTCCTGACTATTCGAGGCGTGAAACGCCCGAATCGGCCTTCGACGGTCGAAGCCGCCGCACGGAATTCCGTGCTGGCTGTTTTTTGTTTTTCAATGTTGACTCCCAATGTGGTATGTTGGGGCGCATGCAGGAAATGGACAAGGACCCTGATAAGCACCGAGAGGCGGACTGCAATAGTTTTGCAAGTCGAACAGGATGCAAACATTGTCTCATTGTTGTTGAAATTTAAAAACGGTCCGAATGAAATCAATTATGTTTGACTCTGATAACCACCATTGCAAGGCATGCCCTGCAGCAACGATCTGCTACACAAAACCGGCTAGTTCAAATGTCTGAAAGAATAGTGCTCCAATACCGCTCAGCTTTGTGTGCTGAATCGAGGCATGTACTGCAGGCCCGAGGCGCCGAGGGGCCAATGAGATCGACAGAATGGCACTTTTTGGAAAACAATGAACGGTGATCTTAAAGACTAAAAAGAATTGACGAAAGGGCAGATCTCTAGTTTCTGGGTTTTCGATTGTGGCGAGCGTCACCGTGCGTATCTTTGCGATTTTTGAAAAGCAGGTTGGGCCCATGACTGTACGATTAGCCTGGCTGCGAAAATCGTGGAGGCTCACAAAAAGAGACTACCCATTGACGGAAAATCCGATTATGGCGATTTTGGTGGGGGTTCCTGAGATTCGAGATGTGGCGGCATTATGAGCCGTGGATCTACAAATGAGGCGGAAGAGCGTAGCGCTAAATGAAAGAGGATTTTCGGGGTTTACCGTTCCACTGGATACCCAGTCGTTTTTCGACCGCGCTGCCTACCGAAGTCGAGGTTCACAGTTTCATCGGCTTTATCAAAACGGTCCCTGACTGCTTTGTTCCAGAAGATTTACTTCGCTATTGTTCTTCCCCTCAATGGGTCTTTGCAAATCAAAGCGCCCATTAGTAAGACGGTCAATGTGTCCTAGGATGGAAAAGAGCATGCATTGATGAATGAGAATTCTCAGAGATTGTACTTCTGGTCCTGCCTCAGAGGACTCTGTAGACTTCGCAGCGCTCTACTGCAGTCACTGGTTCAATCACCCACTGTAGATAGTCTCGTTACAAATGAACATTTTGAATTATCATAACGAAGGACACGAACTCGCCAGGTTGGATTTACTGAACACCGTAGGAAACGAAACTCCAACCACACCCTTACACCCTCTTTATCTGGACTACCCATCGGAGCCTCATCGAACTCACCGATACCGCGCGCATACATCAACATCAACACCACAACCACAACCACATCTAACTCCATATTTCAAACCACACCATGGTGGCAGCGACATACGACACGCGACCGCGTGAAGAGCGTGACTACCGTGAGATATATGGCGATCTTGATGAAACACAGCGGCTAGGCGTGGTGGTGGTGGAACAGCCTCCTGCAGAAACAGCTCCTCCAGCACCACTTCCACTTGCAAGACCGGTATTTGTGAGAAGAGAACGCAAGGCGCCAGTTTCTCGAATGTCAAAAGCACTTATAGAGCACGGCTTTCGAGCTTCCCGTGGTGCTGGTCCGGTCAGGTCTCATTATCTTAGGCAAAACTGGCCCAGCGATAATAGCAGCGATGCCTTAGAGAAAAAGGAAGCAGACAGCGAAACACAGAAAGTGGCCTCAAAGCAGCCTCCCAAAAATACCTTTGATTTTGACAAAAAAGGGTTGAGTCGGCGACAGGTTCGCTACGATCTAGACGAACAGGACGAACAGTTCCTCAACTGGCGCAACGGCCGCCTGACGGCGCGTATTAACCTCTCGCGTGAGGCCCTAGAACTCGCTATCACGGTGCTTGAAGAGGAATGGCACCGCCTTGAAGTGCGGATGGGTGGCATGGGCGGTGATCTTGACGAAGACGAGGCAGAGCTCGATGAGAGCTTTGATAAGTACGGCAACGACGACGGCATTGCGGGGGCTGCTTCTATCCTGGAGCAGCGTTGCGCCGTGTGTAACGACCTGGAGGGCCACAACGGCAACGCCATCGTCTTCTGTGACGGCTGCAACATCGCAGTACATCAAGAGTGCTACGGAATTGCATTTATTCCTGAGGGCCAGTGGTTTTGTCGCCGCTGCATGCTTGTCAGAGGCCACAGCGAGTGCAGCTTTTGTCCCTCTCGCCTGGGTGCTTTCAAGCAGTTGGACAATGGCTTGTGGAGCCATGTTGTCTGTGCGCTTTGGATTCCAGAAGTGTATTTTGCCAACCCAATCTACATGGAGCCTATTGAGGGCGTGGGTGCGGTGCCAAAGACGCGATGGAAATTGGTGTGTTACATTTGCAAGCAGAGAGTGGGCGCTTGCATCCAATGCACAAACCGTCTGTGTTTCCAGGCGTACCACGTCACCTGTGCCAAAAGAGCAGGGCTCTACATGGCAATGGAGAAAGGTGTTCATGGAGCTCTTGCTCTGAAAGCAACACTCACATCATACTGCCACCGCCATTGCCCACCAGAATGGAGTGCTGAAGCAGTGGTGGTCGGTATTGCAAAGACCCGCCGGTTTTACCGCGATAGATTACTCGCGAGTGAAGAGAAGCACCGCTTGGCTTCTCGTAGGCGTCACGAAAACAGCCTCAGTGCTCTTCGCTGGAAAACAGAGCACAATACCCCCATAGCGCCCAAGTGTTTTGCTCAAATGATCTATGATTTGTTGCTAGCGTTGAAGGTGGACATTCCTGAAAACTCGCTTCTACGAGGACTCGGCAATGCAAGCGACATACCCAGACTGGAGGTACTTGCAGACATGCACCGTGCTAGCGCAGAATTGTGTAAGTACTGGTGCCTCAAGCGGGAGGCCAAGAGGGGACCCTTGGTTCGTCCTAGTGCACACAAGCTGATGCTTGTGGCCCAGGCAGCACAGCTTTACGACTCTGCAGCCGCCCAGGAGGCGCTTGCGTCACTACACGAGAAAATCGAGTTTGGCCACACCTTGGTGGGGGACTTGGCCAAGGTTACCGAAATGGCACTGCTTACACAACGCCGACAACAATTAGCACTTGAACGTCTGCTTTTGGGCTTGTCGGCGTACGATGCCGCCTACTTTCCTTTGTGCACATTGGCTGCGAAACACTTGGCCTTGATGTCTGAAAAGCTTGATCCCACGAGGGCCTTGACTAATTACAAGCCGCGCGAAGGGCCCAGCTTTGCAGATGTCTTACGCAAGACAAGGCGATTCGAGTACACTACAGTGGAGGAGATCTCGGCAGACGTGGCGGCGTTGGTGGACGTTAGGGCAGGAGGAGCCTTGGGGAGAGCGGCTGCAAAATGGCTGGCATACTGGCAGAGCCACCGTGGTGAGCTTGAGGCTGCGGCGGCGGTGGATTTGAGCAAAATCCTGTTTGTTGAAGTGAATGGCGGTGAACTTCGGTTGAAAGAGCACGACGCTGGCGCCGTGCTAGCTGAAGAGGGCTTGAGTGAGGTTGAGGACGTCACGGAGGAGCCGGCCAACAAGACAGCGTTGAAGGCATTTTTGAAGGCCTGACTACGGTTTAGCACGAAGGACGAAAAAAACGGGTTTAGGCGTAAGCCGAAACGGGTTTAAGCAGCATGGATGAAGCGAGTCTGCGGCTAGAAGCCTAAATCATTAGCATAATTAGAGGGCTGTGGGATCGCAGTTAGATTGTGATCTGAGCGTCTGGAATTTTTCAAACTGCAATGACCGATCGGTTCACTAGGCCCAGTAGGGGCACCCAACGACGGGAGGCTTCCATAGGAATGTCTCATGGCCCGGTTTCGTATTCTTTACTGTTTACAGCAAACGGATAAGCCTGGGTTTCAGGCAATAAGCCCGGAAGCTTTCTCCAACGCACTGCGGCAATGTGGGCTTTCCAACCCTAAAGCTTAATTGCACGCCCACCGAAGATAGCCTAACAGGGGTGCATTGGCGAGAGATATTAATTCCATACTGTGAAAAATAAAATTATTTGCAAGCAGGCCTGGGTAGCCGACGTACCCCGAGGCAGACAATCTAGAACAGCATGGTTTAGTCAACGCAGCGCGAGATCTTCGAGCAAGGCCTGCTTTGGCGCCTACAGCAGATCGAAGCAAATTGCACAAGAACACCACCAGCAAAAGGAACAAGAATATCCAAATGTGCTCAGTTAAACAAACCCTAAATCAAGGGGCCGGCGATCCATGGCCGTACGGCAGCACCTCAGCCCTCCTGGTTGCAAAGCGGGCTGGAATGTTTGGGTTCTCTGGGGCAGCGGGGCAGGTGCAGAGAAGAGCAAATTTCTCCACGGTGCCAAGGTGAGGATGGCAGGACGTAGCCGTGGATCATGGATCGGGGCTTTTGCCAGCGAAGGTGTCCAGCGAGGCGAGTGCATTTACGACGGTGTTTGATCGACCGCACCCTGGCGGCCGTGGCGGTGGGAGGCGGTGACCTTACGAAGAGAGGGTTGGGGACTGCTGAGAAGAGAGGGTTGGGGTGGTGAGGCAGATGGGGAGGTGGAAGGAAGCGAGTGAGATAGGCTGAGGGCCAGCTGCCAGGAAAATGCACCAAGGCATGGAAGAGGCCGTAAACGGCAAGGTCGGGTGCCGAGCCCGGGGCTGTAAGCGACCTTCCAAAGTCTGTTTAGCCAGTGTATGCGATCGTTATACCAGTGTATGCGTTGGGTGCAAATGCACCAAAGAGTATCTTCGACGCACGGGCTACGTGCCGATGTGTCCCCGGATCTTCAGGGCCCAGAGACGCTGCATTGGCGGTTTTGCCGAGCGACCCAGCGGTGGTGTTGCTGGGGGACAAGGGTGGAGGCAGAAGGAAGATTGCAACTTTTGAATTTCGTCTTCTCCGTCCGTGGGTGCCAGAATTAAGGCCTGGGTCGGCCACACGGATTGGGCGCCAGGCGGCCTGCGTACACCGGGACAATCGGTTGCCAGGTGGAGACAGGCAGGGCACGCAGGCGATCAGAGCGATCTCAAGCAGCGATCTTCAGGGTTTGTGCGGGAGGAAGATCGGGGAGGCAGGGAAGGAGAGGCAGGGAAGATTTTGAAGAAAAAGGCGAAGGAAGTTTGGTTTTTTTCAGGGCAAAACGAGCGAAGCGCCCGCGGACGCAGCGAACAAACAACGGGAGGAAAGGAGTGGATGGGAGGATGAATGGGCGAGGCGTGGAACGGTGTGGGGAGTTGGCAGCTGGGGTGCAAATCAGGGTGCCGCAGGGGAAGGGCAGGCAGAAGGATAAAAAATGTGAAAGAAGGCAGAAAAAAATGCAGAGGATGCAGAAAAGTTGGGAAATGTAGAAAATGTCGAAAAGCAGAAGTCATAGGAGAGAGGTTGACAGGTGAAGAGGACGGTCTGTGGGGAAGCGGCTGGCGTGCACCGTTGAGTTTTCCCAAAGCAGGCAAGTGTACGATTTTGTGCGAGTAGGTATAGCCGGTGCAGCGTAGCGGTCGAGGAGGAGGAGGAGCGAGGAAAATAGAGAAAAGCGGAATCACAGCGAGGAGAACTCAAGCCACAGAGCCCCAGCAGCCAGCAGGCCGAGCAGACTACCTGTGCAACGTAAACTCCACGTCTGGATGATCGATGCGGACCGATCGCTCGCGATCTGAAGTGGTAAGCCGGGGAGGGAGGGAGGTAGGGTAAGGCTGGTCTTCGAAAAAAGGAAACCATGCCATAGCCAAATGGCATGGGCAGCAGAGACCCGCGCGAGTCGAGATAGGAAAATATCGAGCGACGCCGATGCTGCTGCTGCTTGTGCTGCTGCTGGTGCGCTGCTAGTGCTGCGATAGACCACGCACGCAAATTACACAAAGCACACGCACGATTGCAGGCAAGAAGCCTCCGTGTCTGAAAAACCAGTTTCAGCGGCACCCACCGCGAGGCTGCCGCCGGGCGGCTATCGTGGGAGGTTCTGCAAGCGAACCACGCAAGGCGGTGTGTTTCGCAGCCAACCCACCAGCCAGAAAAAAAAAGCACTGGTCGAAGCGTCACACCAGCTTATGCGCCGCGGACAGTGCCGAGGCAAGGCAAATCCAGAGAACAACGACGGCGCAGGCAGTAGGGCAGAGACAGGCAGCGAGGCTGGAGCGACAGCGGGCTAAGTGTAGCCGCTCGGGCACAATGCGCAGCCCGCATTGTGAGCCTCTGACGTAAACAAAGAGCAAATCGCACGGGGGACTTAAAAGGGAGGGTTTCGCTGGGTGGGTTCTCCAGGAAAGGTATGTATTTTGGCCAGGTGACCCAGGGCACCTGGAGGTAGCAGTGACTAGTCCCGGGGGTGCACTGGATGGTGTTTCCGTTGGGTTTATGAGAGCTGGTGGTGCTTTACGTGAAATAGTGTCCAGGTGGTGCTTTCAAAAAGAAGTGGTTCAAAGAGGTGGAAAGAGGTGGAAAGACGTGGAAAGACGTGGTTCAAAGTCGTTGTGGTGCTCTCCGTTTCTGCGAGAGAGGCGCCGGGCAGACCGTTAGGGGCGCCAAGGAGCGCGGTGGGGGCACCAAGATTCATTTGCAGACGGACGTCCTCGCCACACCTGGCAGGTCTGCTGGCGCCCGCCGAGCCAAGGGAAGTCTTGCCGGAGCGCAGGCTGCACCTGCGAGGCAGCGGCCTCGCAGCGGACCATGTGAAGAGCGCCCGGATGCAGTTTTTCCGGCTTCCGGCAGCTGCTAATTTCAAGCAGCGGCGTTTCTTGTCCGTCCCTTGTTGGGCCTTTCCAGCGCTTTCTGCCACTTTTCGTCTTTGTGGACCCGGTCTTGGCTCAGGCACCGCGCCAGGTACCGCCAGGAACACCCCCAGCCAGTGCAGTCCATCGCGCCCAGCGTCGGGCCCACACAGTCGCACCGCGACCTCCCTGCGCAGTGCCAGCAACAATCTCGGCAGCGATCCACCAGTGGAGACCCGGATCCCAGGATCCCCAGGGCAGCGACAATGACCGATGTCACGGAAACGGGGGTGGAACTCCTTTTACTTCCTTTTTTTGCAAAATCCCCGTGGCCCACCAGATGGCTTTTTTTGGGGGTGCCGCCTCAAGCGTCCGCCCAGCGTCCGCCCGCGCTGTTCCTGCTTTCTCTTCCTTCACTGGCAGACCATTCGTCAAGTGCCTCCACCGCCTGCCTGGTGCCTGGTTTTAGCCGCTGAACTGCGCGCCTGCCTGCCCACCAGGTCTCTTTTCGGCTCCCACGCTGCTTGTCGACACCGCCTGCCTGCCTGTTTTTCCGCTCCTGCTGCCTCCAAAGCTGCTCTGCTTTTTTCGCCCGTCCTACTAACCATGCAGCATTACCTGGTTCTCTGAGCCTGATCCTCCAAATATATCAACGCTCTTCTTTTCCCACTCCGTCTACTTCCCTCCCGCATCCTCAGGCCACATTCCCCCGGCCACCAATCATCGTCATCCAGCCCTAGGCTTCTTCTCCATCCAGCCACAAGCCTTCAGGCTTCTTCCTCCATCGGCCTCCCACCATGACTAAGAAACTCCCCATGATTGTCGACATTGGCATCGACAACTCGGGCAAAAAAATGTTCCAGGTCCACGAGACCTCCAAGTCCGTCCGCAACGGCATGCCCACCTCCTCCCAGTTTGCCGACTCTGCCATGGACGCCAAACCCAGAATGCGTGTTTCCACGAGCTCCTCGGCCATAGAAACGTCCCTGGTGCCGTCCTTCGGCCCGCCAAGAAGCGACTCCGCTGACATGTCCTACATCACCACGCCCACCAGCGCCACCTCTCTGACCCACGGCGAAGAGAAGGATATCTGGTGTGCTGACGTGCAGCAGGCGTTTGAAGAGGTGCTCGCTATCGTGCCGAAAAAGGGCCTCAACAAGATAAAAATCGGCGGCCGCTCCTGTGGACGTAACGAGTTGATCTCGGATTATATCATGGCCAAAACCGGCAAGTACAGATCCAGAAAGCAGGTGTCCAGTCATATCCAGGTGATAAAGAACATGGGCCTGCGCAAGGAGCTTATAGCCTTGATCAACGACGGACCGCAGTTCGGCTCCGACGACGAGGCCGAGCTCAACAACAAGCGTTTCGAGGAGATTTTCGCCAAAATCAACTTGAACAAGTCCCTCGGGGTCGTGCCCACCAACGGCAAGGGCGAAAGGCGCCATTCCACCGGCATTTCCTCTACCCCCAAGAGAAAGCGTCTCAATACAGAGCTCGTGTCGATCAGAAACATCAGCTTCTCCATCGACAACGGCATGCCCGGCAGTAATAGCGTTCTCACTTTCCAGGACGACCTGCCCGTGAAGCTGTTGACGCTCAAGGAGGACGCCAACTTTGCATCGAGATTCCCCGGTTTGGAGGAGTTCGCCAGCACTAACGTGCCCATTCTTCATAACATGATCCGTCTTCTCAACCCGGCCAACGTGCCCATGGATTTTTCCGTCGATAGAGACCTCAAAACAAACTACATGCTTGAATTTGCAACCGTGCCCCAAGCTGGCCTCTGCAGCTTTACCCTGGTCTATTCCTTCGGCACTGAGGTGCTCAAGGTCAACGAGGACAACTTCCTCCCCAATACCAACCAGCCATTCCTACTTAAATTCTGGAAGTGCTTTTTCTACCAGTTGTTGCAGCAGCCCACTTCCTTGGACGCTGCCTTCAAGGGCATCACCGTCAAACAGGTCATTTACGAGCGTCATGACGGCTCCATGAGTCTAGTGCCCAAAACTCGTATCAAGGCTGTTTTGCTTTGGGAGTTTTCCAAAGTCAAGACGTGGGGCGAAGCCGTCTCCACCACATCTAGGCTCTTCCTCCCGCCATCCCTTCAGACGCCTATTGACCTAAGTGATGCCGTTACCCAGCCTCCAAACCCAGTGAAGCAGGAGTACGTTTTTTCACCAAACCAGGTACCTCCTGTAAAGCAGGAACCCCAAGACCCAATGACCGGTTTTTACCAGGCTCCGTATTTCCCACAAACGCCTACAAATTTCCACACGCCGCCTCCTTCTGGCCACGGCTTCCATCCTTCGGTAAATGTGGATTTGGCATCGGTGAGAAACCTACCTGGTGAGGACCCGCTTGGTTATTTCCCGCCCTCTACAGAGTTCCCTTGAGAGAAGAGTGAGTTTCCTTCATTTATATTGTGTTTTATTTCATTGTTTGGTGGTGACTTTAACATGCTACATGGCTCCATCCATGTTTAGCATCATTTATGCGATCTTTTCATTCAGTGGGTTGTGGCCCACTGTCAGTCATTCGTTTACAGCGACACGTTACGTAATTCATTTCAAGAATTTTAATGCCCTAATTATTGTAAGAGATCTTCATGGCAATCAGCGTATAAAATAAAAATTGTTAGACAATCTCGTAAATGATCAAGGATTTCTTCTCGATTCTACTATCCTCCTTGTAACAATGTCATTTCTCTATATTCCTAGCTAGCCATTCACAAGGCCTAGTACTTTTCGTAACCAACGTCTTCAAGACGCTCGGCCTTGCCCAAAACTTCCTCTTCCATGTTGTTCATGTACTGGCTCATCTCGTCCAACCACTTGTAATCGTAAGCACCCAAAATACGGATCGCCAACAATGCAGCATTGGTACTGTTATTGATCGCCACAGTAGCCACAGGGATGCCTCTAGGCATCTGCACAATCGAGTGCAAGGAGTCCACTCCGTCAAGGGTGGAGCCCTTAACAGGAACACCAATCACAGGCAATGGAGTCATGGCTGCCACCATACCTGGCAAATGAGCAGCACCACCAGCACCGGCAATGATCGCCTTGATACCCCTGCCGGCAGCCTCAATGGCAAATTTGGACATTCTGTGCGGAGTACGGTGGGCAGAAACAATGGTAAGCTCGAAAGGAACGCCAAACTTCTTCAAGATGTTAGCCCCCACAGCCATGACAGGCAAGTCCGAATCGGAGCCCATGATGATCGACACCAAGGGCTTCTCCTGCGGCTCAGCCTCTTCAGGAAGGGAGGTAGACTCGCCCATGATGAACCTGAGTTTGCTCTCGGCCTCGGCCATAGAGGAACCAACGACGTTGATGTGACCCATCTTACGCTGAGGCTTGCTTTCCTTACCGTACAAATAGACAGACGCGTTGGGGGTCTCGATCGCTCTGCGGCAGACTGCCAACTCACCGTTTTTCTCCTTGTCACCAAGCACGTTGAGCATGATGGCATTCGTGTTGGTGGTAGCAAAGTTAGAGAAGCCCTTGGGCAAAGGCAAGCCAGCCACGGCTCTGACGTGAGCCTCAAACTGGGAGGTGACGCAGGCATCGATAGTGTAGTGGCCAGAATTGTGGGGTCTGGGGGCGATCTCGTTGATCAAAAGCTCGTGGTTAGGCAACAAGAACATCTCCACACCGAAGATGCCGCAGCCAGGGAACGACTTGACGGCGTTCTGGGCCAAAAGAGAAGCCTTCTTTTGCAAAGTGTCCAGAATACGGGCTGGAGCGTACACAAGGTGGCAGATGTTGTCCTTGTGGTGAGTCTCCACGGTAGGGTAGGCAAAGACCTCGCCTTCAATCAGCCTGACGACCATCACGGCCAATTCCTTGGTGAAGGGACACCATTTTTCGGCGTACAAAGGTCTGTTGGCCAAGAACTCAAGGGCCTCAGGAATAGACTCCTTCGTCTTCACCACAAAGTTTCCTCTACCATCGTAGGCCATAGTTCTCGACTTCAACATGAAGGGGAAGCCGAATTTCTGGCCGATAGCAGCAAGCGCCTCCTCAGAGTTCTCTTCAACAGCCACAGACTCCACCACGTCCACACCGTGCTGCTGCAAGTGGGTCTTCTGGAGGTACTTGTCCTGGATCAATCTGATGGTCTCAGGGAAAGGGTAGATGGGAACACCCAACTGCTTCTCCACCGACTTGAGCGCCTCCACGTCCACGTGCTCAATCTCAATTGTCAAAAGGTCACACTTCTTCGCCAACTGAGTGATGGCTTCGACGTCCTTGAAAGAGCCGTCCACATGGGAGTCCAAAGCGTTGATCTGTTTGGCGGGCGAACCAGCGGCATCGAGCACGACTGTTTTGATGTTGAGCCTGTGAGCGGCTTCCACCACCATACGGCCCAACTGGCCGCCGCCGAGAATGCCTATAGTCTTGCTGTCCATGAAGAAGGTGTAGTTGAAGATGCGATGCGATCAGAGTCAGCGGTGCAGGCGATAAGCGATAGACAGAAAACGGCCGTTTGGGAGAGAATGCGGTGGAGGGGTGAAAAAATGGACGGGTGAGGTGAAAAAAGTGATTGTACGGTGAAGGGGATGGTTTTCTCCACTTTTGGCTGTTAGAATTAGGTACGATGGGGATAAGTCGTGGGGTATGAATTATGGGCTGCGAAATTAGGTAGAGGTTAGGTGATAATTGGAGCGCTGAGTCTGAACTGAGACACAATTTGTGATGAGCACAGATACGGATGGAGGTATGAGGAGCTCAAATTGATAAGGGAGCGATAGAATATAAAAAATTGACAAGTTCTGTGCAAAGTGGGTATGAACCCTCTGGAGATTACTTCTGCACGCTGGCTTCCTAATACTGATAAGTCTTGCAGGAAGTGTTCAGAGAGAAGCAATATGAAAGTAAGAGTTATGGTTGATGGACGTTTCACTATCTCTTGGTTCGCTTCTGATCCGCTTCTGATCCCGTTCGGTCGATGTAGATAGAGACTCGCTGTAGTCAAGTCACCCACTTGAACCATCCCTTTTGGAGTCTCATCTTATCAGCAGATCAAATAAATTCATAGTGAAGACAGTCAAGACGTTCGTTTTTCTTCCACATATGCATCATCTCAAGGTTCAACCTTCTCACCCATCCACCCTCCGTACCTACAAACCCCATATCCTTCTCCGTATGACTGTATTCGGCATCTCTCATCAGCTCATGCCCGATGAGCCAGCCGTGTCTATAACCATCTCAAAAACCTGAGAAATCCTGATCTAGGCGGTGTTGTCTATGCTATTCACCGTACTAGCACCAAAACATTAGAACTTCGTGTGACCACGCTTCTTCAAACCACGCTTTCTGATTCTGCTGGTGTTCTTCAAACCAGAGGTGCTGACTTTCTTCAAGTCCTCCTTGGGCTTCTCGGGCTTCTCCTCCTCTTCCTCCATGGCATCCTCGTTTTTTTGTTTTTGCTTCTCCTGAGCAGCCTGGGCCCTGGCAGCAAGTCTGGCTGTTCTCTCGTTGACGAAATCGGTGAATTCACCCTTCCGCTTGACCGACTTGGCCCTCAACTTCAGCTTGCTTCTCAAAGATTTGGCCATTGCAAAGAAGTAGTAACTAAGTGTATGCGATGAGCTTCGCGCAGGTTTTCGCAGCCACCCAGGCACCAAGAGCTTGGGGCGATATTGCCTGGGGTAGAACGAAAAATAGAAAAAGTGCCATTTGCTGAATTTTATGAATTTTCTTTGTGAAACATCGTTACTCTCTTTTATTATTACTGGGGCTGTAGCACACTACCATAGACCCACTGTGGTAGTAGAGTGAGACATAATGAGATGATCAGCGTGCTCTTTCTAGTCTCCATCTCGATCAATGCCTTACTCCCCACCATTGCTTCAAAGTCTCATTGATCCATGGATTTTCAGGAGAACCATTGAAGACAAGCTTTCTGTGTCTTGCAGGGCACCTATCCCCTGGAACACAATCCAATTGCACCAAAGCCTGGATATCATGTTTTGAAAGTTCTGGACTACAAGCGTTCTAGATCTCCTTCTCCTATTCTTGCTTCAAAGGGTTATGGTACTTCTGGATCTGCTACTTGGCTAGTGATCCTCAATGGCCCCCCACTTTCTTGTTCTCCATATTGAACCCCCTCACAACGGCACAACCGCTTCCATTGTATGGATCTCTGAAGCTTAAAAATAAAGTCATGTATCTACACAATGCTGAGCTAGTCAATGGAAATTGCGCTCCGAGCAAATCAACCCCACAAATCAAAACACTCTAAACCTTACAGTAGTGGACCCTTCGAAAATCATGTTAATCAGATATTCCAATTGTGCCCGGAAACAGATTCCATTCTGTACATTCTCTTCTTAGGTCTGCCCAGCTAATCTCAAGCTGCGACATAGCCCACGCTTTCTACCAAAACAGTTCGTTTTCTTGCCCCTTTTTAAACAATATCCTACACAAGATGCCCAAAGTGGACAAGCGTATGGACTAATTTTGACAAAGATGAACTAGGATGCAGCAGAAGAATGCCTATTCTTCTAACCTCGAGACTCGCTTCACTACATTGAACGGCGAGGCTTTGACAGCCGCACCATAGCAGACTATTGGAAACAACCAGCTCCCTTGTCTCTTGGAATTACTCAATTGAGAAAAATCAAGAGAGGTCAGTAGACATTGTGACTTTGGAGACTTGCAAATTGATCAACTTTTTGCAAGACCATGTCACGTGCTCGATGTTAGGGCTCGCGCCCTCCATCTTTGAGACCCGTGCACCGGTGATTCTTGGAGACCTCTCTGCAGCACCGCGAGTAAGGCTCTTCCCCCATACCGTTACTAGTGAGGAAGGATTGGGACTGCACACAGTTGCTCGCTTTTGCCCTCACAAAAAAACCTCTATTGAAAATTTTCTTGCTCCCTTTTTTATCTTCTAAAGTCAGCTTATCGAAATGTACGTTTCTTGAATGCCCAAGCAGCCTGCTGCCAGAGCGACGACCCAAAACTTCAAACATAGAGGATTCCAGTGATGTCGAAATTGCCCTGCTAGTCCAAGTCAATCCAGAGACAATCCCCTTGAATTCATCGATCCAACGACAACCCAAGATCGTCCAAAGTCAAAACAATTACTAACAACCAGGCCTAACCTCAGAACTCAGAAGAGACTTGCTGCCAGCGTTGTCGGTGTTGGTAAGAGAAAGATTTGGTTGGACCCTAATGAGACCACCGAATTGGCCTCTGCCAACTCTCGTGCTGCCATCAGAAAGCTCTACAAGAACGGTACTATCGTGAAGAAGCCCGTTACTGCTCACTCCAGAGCCTCTGCCAGAATCATGGCTGAGTCCAAGAGAAACGGTAGACACATGGGTCTCGGTAAGAGAAAGGGTACCAAGAACGCCCGTATGCCAACCCAGGTGTTGTGGATGAGAAGATTGAGAGTGTTGAGAAGATTGTTGGCTAAGTACAGAGACTCTGGTAAGATCGACAGACACTTGTACCACCACTTGTACTTGGCTGCCAAGGGTAACGCTTTCAAGCACAAGAGAGCTTTGGTTGAGCACGTTATCCAGGCTAAGGCTGAGGCTGCTCGTGAGAAGTCTTTGAAGGCCGAGGCCGAGGCCAGAAGATTGAGAAACAAGGCTGCCAGAGAGAGAAGAGCCCAGAGAGTCGAGGAGAAGAGACAGGCCTTCTTGAACGACGCTTAAATCCATTTCACAATCATATAGCTTTTGTATCTTCAAGACCCGGTGGCACATTAATCACACGACCATATCGACTACATTGTAGAATTTATTAAATGTGTATTAGTCTATGCATAACGGCATGTGCCTTTAAAGTCGTCTTCCTGGAACAAGGCAAAAGACGATGGTTAGAATTGCAGTGAACAAAAGAATGAGCGCAAGCACCCACACTGACCGCTTCAAAAGTAGACGATGTATGAAGCGGTCGTTCACCTTGATGAATGTTTTCTTCGGTATGAAGGACTCACTGTAGCCCACCAAAGCTAGTAGCGGATCGAGTCTGTACACGGAAGATACGAGGCAGTAGAAGCCAATGAGGAACGAAATAACAATCACAGCCCTGTAACCCTTCGACAAATCCAAAAAGATCAAGGTGAATGCGATCCAGAATGATGCAAATATGAAGAAAAACCCGATAACAATACGGGCGTTGATGGAGCGATTAACGTTTTTGATGGCCACAAAGTTGAGGAAGTTGGGCAAGTAATGGTTTTCAATAACATTGAAGACATAGCGCTTAACTGCGTTGAAGACGTCTGGGTCGTCTCTGCCCTCGACCTCGATGGCATTGATGATGTAGTTGTTGAGTTTCGTGGGAAGGTTAAGGTTCTTTTCGGAGTCTTCAACAAAGTATTTGAGCAAAAGATTGTGGGAAGATTCACGCAAATTGTTACGAGTGATGAAGGAGCCCAGACTGTGCTTCGAGTCTCTGATGATTTTTTCGAGCAAGGATGGGTTTATGGAAGAGCGCCGGAGGGCTGAATACGTTTTACCTCCATGAGTCTGGGTGTTACCCGCAGACGGCAGCTGTGGATAACCAAAGGAGGTGTTGCTTTGTTGTGTTTGGTCGAAAGAGTCATCCAAAAGTTTGGAGTTGGAGGAAACACGTTTTTCAGTGAAACCGCCGTACAGGGCGTTGTCCACGATCGGGGAAGGTGGATTCACGCCGCCATCGTCCTGATACTTATCGATGAGTTCCTTGATCTTCGGATCCACGTCGTTAAGGTTGATTTCTCCTCGAAGAAACTGCGAAAGTCTATTGGAATCGTTGTCCTCCAAGATGTGGTCGTTGATGATGAGATCCAAAAGCATCGACAGCGAAACGGACTTGTGTTTGGAGCCTTCGGTCAAGGGGAAAGAGTCTCTTTGTGGACTGCCCATGGCCAGGTTTCTGGGGCTATCATGGCCCATCATTGGAGAACCACTAGCGTAATGGTTTGAGTTTCTCACGATCGACTCCCTCAAGCCCTTGACATAGTGTTTGCAAAGGTTGAGATGAGCTATAAGATCGAACCAAAAGTCCAAGAGGTCGACGTTGTTTTCAATGTATTGCATGTACAAGTAGAAAGTGTACAAGTTGACTGGCGATCTGGTCTTGTTCAGAAGGATCTCGCCTAGCGTGGGAAGGCGGGATAAATGAACGGCATTATTGGTCTGGTTCAAGTTATCCAAATTCGCCAAATAGTGGGTGTTGGGCTTGTCTGCCTGGAACTTCTCCGACATCCCTTCTTGCTGGCTTGGTGGTTGTAAGAATGAAGATGCTGGAGAATCGCGAGAGGTAAACATCGTGCTTGCCGGTGCAGGACTGTACGGTTACGGGTTTTTGACGATCACCTAGTATGAATATCGAGGGGATGAGCAGGGCAGCGACCAGGAATTATTAAAAAAAAAAAAAAGTTAAGAAAAAGAGAAATGTAGATTGAGTATTGTTTGAGATGCCGGGGCTGGAGTGGCGTGGCGTGGCATCGTGGAATGATGGCTGCGAATCGCTAGATATATGAGGGAGATCGTACGGTAGAAGGGTACAATTAGGGTCCACAATTGGTTGTAATTCAGTACCCAATTGTACAATTCTCGACCACATTGCTTGTTGAAAAGAATTGGCTACATTCATAATGGCATACCCCGATGAGGCGTGCGAGCTTTTCTTGGGCTTTGTTTGCAACGGTTCCTTTTGAGAACTAAATGGGATTTGTCGTTGGGAGAGGTTCAATTGGTTTGGAAAGTAAATGTATCCAGACCCAAGGCCAGTTTTTGTCGACTCATGAAGTTAGTGGGTACTGTATATCATGCTACGCCAGACTTTGTTGAAGAAGGCTTTTTCACTCGCGAGAATCACCTCACTGCTTCAAGTCAGAATGTTCTGGGATCTCGTTAAAGGAACGTGTATTGTGTCTCGCTTGGTTTGACTCGCTAATTGCCTGCGTTGGTAAGAATGGGATCGTATGGATTTTACGATGGATCTACCCCGTGCACGTCACGACGTTCTGGGGTATAGACATTGGAGAGAGTGGGTCTTTCTATTATGATATTTGATGTGTTGATGTGATTGTACTCATGGTGGTATATTTAATCTCGGTGTGTAGATTTTGTTTTGGCTGCAAAATGTCGGTTCGCGCTTATTTTTCAAAAGTCGTCGGTCAACTAAGGCCCAGGTGGTGAACTACAACAAACGAAAAAAGTAAAGAATTTGGCGAATTTAGTGCTAGTGAATAGCGAGGAACTTCCACTCAATAACTACTTGAAACCCACCATAGGGTATCTATAAATAGATGAGTCCAGCAAAGATACATGATCTCACGAACGACGGTACCGTGCTGCTTATGTCATCTCAAGCGAGGCCACTCACCACCGCCAATTCTATTGAGCCACGCTCGACCGCTTCAACATGCCTTCGGAAACGTCCAACCTCTGACTTACCCTCGCTCTCCACTACCCATCTCCACAGCATGGTCGCGGGATTCGATGGGTCAAAAACCAACGCCGCATCACCCAAAGCCATTTCTCCGTTTGACGTGCGTCACTTTCCCCAAACCAAAAAGTTCTCCAGCTCACGAGTCTCCTGAGGCCAAGCCTGCAAATTCAAAAGCCTCAAAATCCACGCAAGGCTGAGATCACCCGGCTGAAACCTCTCGGCTGAAACCTCCAGGCTGAAATATCGTGGGGAAGGCAGCGAAATCGACGATCTCAGCTGATCTGACGTGACACCGCCAGAAATTAGTGATGCACAGGGCGCCAGATAATTTTCCACTCACTTGCATCCACCGGGGCTGTAAAACCGAAACACGAAAACGAAACCGAATACGAAAACGCCGCCACGCCGGGCGACTCCAAATTCTCCATCGTCCCTCTCGTGCCTTTCGGCTATTGACGCTTTGACACAACGTCACTCGTGGAGCAGAATCTTAGATTAGTCCCGATGGGGAAACCTGGGACACCTGAGATTGCGAAGCCACTGTGCCCCACAAGTTCGTCAAAGTCCGACTGCCAGGCGATCAGGCAGCAACGTTGCAGTCAGTGCCCCTCCGTGTCACCCCAATTCCACCACAACTGTAGAGCCTCTCCACCTGCCCACTCTCTGGACCCCACTGCCCAGGGCCCACTTTCTCCAAACCCCAGGCTCGGATTCTGTTCCCAGGCTCGGATCTGTCCCAGCCTCAGCTATCGGTCTCCTCCTCGGCTGCACTATTGTTCCCGCGTCGGCCTGCCATTGGCCTGCTCCCCATCCCAGCACAATGCGATTTACCATGTTGCAATTCGCCAATACCCTAACCCCCATTGGCTGCCGAGCACCCATTGAGGAATCAACCACCAAAGCATTTCGGTGACCTCCCACGTCTTATCTCTCGCTGTGGCCTGTTGGTTTGGGGCCTTGGTTCTCGTAATTCGCAGCCAAAAACGCGGCATCCTCGCTGAAACTCGGGCCTCCGCGGGTTCCCCAGCGGGGCAGAGACAAAAAAAAATAAAAACCGGCTCTGGCGCCGGGGACTTAATTGATTTGTGCGACACCGCACCGCTGCAGCCTGCTCTGCCTGGTCGCTGCCTGGTCGCTACCTGTGGATGTGCGTTAATTCTGCCCTCTCCCTGGCACTCCAGACCAGTCCACACCTCGCGGCCCGAGGGTGCTTCCACAGTTTGATCCACAACGCGGAGCCGCTTGTCTACAATTGGACTTGCGGGAAAACGTGGGAATTTTAGTAAAAACTCTGTATTGTCTGCTTCGCCCCACCATTCTTCGACATACCCCTGACTTGTATCTGACCTCTGACGTCGTTTTCCCTAGCCCGTTCGCTCTCACTTCCTGCGTCATGTGCTTGATAGTGACGGCACGGCATTTTTGCTTTCGCACTGATAACACAATTAGCAGCCACAGAGCAAAGATAACGACCGTCCGGGCCTCCCAGGGTCCCCAAACCATGGTGATTTTCCGAACGTTGCTGGGAACAACTCTTAAAACCACAAACTTCCACTTTCTGGACCGTATTAGCCTTCTTCTCCAACTTGGACCGCTCATGAGTCAACCATGGCACTGCGAGTTTTTGCGAATAGAGTCAGCTATCTCCCCACAGTCCTACTGGTCGACATCCTCAGACACATTTCTGCCCAAACCCACACCTCTAAGGCGGGCAACGATACCAAGTAGGCTTAAAGCGATTTTTTTTTTTTTTTTAGTGGTTTCTCTTTTCTTTTCCTTTATGATGCACCCGCCCTGCTATCTGACTATCTGCGTGGAAACCTATTCGCAGGCGATCCCCTGCCGGTTTTCGCTTTTACCTATTTTGCATCCGCTTTATTATTTTTTTTTTTTTCCCTCTCTCACTCACTTTAAAATCCCCCCATCCCCAGCGGCTCATTATCCCCCCAACAAAAATTTCACCACCACACCTCCCTCAAATCCAAAACACTTTGTTTGCTTTATCATGTTCCTCATTGGGCCCGGGCTAGGCCACCGCCCGCCACTTTCCTTTTCCCTCGCTGCCTTCCTCCAGAAATACCTTTTCCGCCAGAGCCTCTTTCCAGCGCTCCTGGGCTCCAAGATCCACTGGATCGGCAACTCCAGACGTGCTGCTGCCCACCTGTGTGCCGCTGACGACCTCGAGCTCTCCTTGGGAAATGACCAGATCGAACTCTTCGACAACTACCTCGCTCCTGCCAAACAGCCAGAGTTCAACTTCCCTGTGGAGCTTGAGGAGCCTACACCTTGGGGGTTCGACTTCTCCGTGCCTGATTTCTCCCTGACTCCATCCCTTTCGTCGTCCTACCAGACCTCCGTGCTGAGCTACCAGGAGGAGATTGAGCCTCCAAAGTCTCACTTTGCGCTCAACATGATTGGCCTCAACCAACCTCCTCAGGCCTTCCAGGACTTTAGAAGATCTCCAAACGCCGACTCCCCAGCCACCGGCTGCAGCGAGCTGCTGGCTCTGTTCATGGACGAGCTCTTCATGAAGAACGGTCCTATGCCCACCAACTTTGCTTCTGGCTACATTGAGCTGCCACCCATGGCTCCTGTTCCTCAAGTGAGGAAGCGCAGAATCTCCGATTCTCCAGAGTTCGAAGCCAAGAAAGTCAAGGTGGAGCACGAGCTGTTCGACGACCGCAAGGAAGCCAGACATGTGTGTCCCGAGTGCAACGCTTCGTTCAAAGTCAAGTCGTACTTGACTCGCCACGCCCGCAAGCACACCAACGCCATGGCTTTCATGTGTCCCTTCCACGACATCTCCACCCAGGACAATTTCGGCAATGTGATCAAACTGGCCACCAAATGCCACCCTACGGGCGGATTTTCCCGTAGAGACACCTACAAAACGCACCTCAAGGCGTTGCACTTTATCTACCCGCCTGGCACCAAGTCGAGTGCCAGAAACAGCACAGGCGGCCGCTGCGCAGGCTGCTTCGAGTACTTCGAGAGCAACGCCCGCTGGTTGAAGTACCACATCGAGTGTGATCAATGCAAAGGCTTGCAAGAGCACGGCAGAAGCGTCAAGGGCAATGGTTGCAAAAACAACAGCCACTCGGAGGCCCTGGGGCCTGTCAAAGCCGAGTGCTACGACTAGACCGGCTCTAGTCGGCAGCTTGTTCTTTTCACTTCTTCGGTGCCTCCAGTGCACGCTATTTCTTCACTAATTTTCAATTCATGGCTTTCTTGTCAATATAATATGGTCGCAACTCCAACCGGCGAAGCTTCTTCGCTGATTGTTAATATTTCTGTGTCTATACTTAACGTGTTATCATGTCAACAACTACGTAGAAACAACAGCATCCAGAGAAAATGAAATTTACAAAACAACAATTGATCAAAGTAACAATTGAGTGACAATCGCTTTTCAGACAACCCAAAAAATCGGACAAGATTCAAAATCAACCTAAATCGAATATCACAAGACCCAACCCCTTGCATCGTTCGAAGCATTGCTCAATTCGTTATCCTCTTCACCCTCGATGTAACCTTCCAAAGCTATCATGCGGGCCGGAAATACAGTTCCATTCCCCCACGCAGATAACCCTCTCTACTTGACAAGAGCGCAAAAAAATAAACCTGTCATGATGGATGCATAACCGAAGGGTTTTGAACGAAGCTCAATTTCAGGACTTACTAGACGAATTCGGCTCGAACAAAGGAGGTGAACGTACGAAGCATTGAGCACTGATCTCTGAAGTTTTCATATGATTCTGAATTTCCCTTGACATGGTGCAGCTTAGTTACACCAAAACAGGCATCACTGTAGAGCGCTTATTATGCCAACGGACCGACATCCGGCTTATAACGAATAGGGCGTCGGATAGCATGGAGAAGCATTATTCCTTGCAGAAGGCCAGGACCAATAAAAGTATCCGGACATAAGCGACACTAAACTGAAAACCCAAAGCCTCAAACGCACTTTGTGATGTTTTAAACTCCTCGGTACCATGGCCCGCCCAATGCACTCTTATCATCGTTGAGTAGGTGAAGGTCCATCATGAGTGAAATCTTGGACGAAGTAGACCAAAAAACTGAGAAAGGCTGAAAAGCCAAGCTTTCTCTCATGCTAGGGGAGATCCTAGAGTACGTCACTTTTTTCTTTTCTTCGGTTTAACCTGTCTTCACTCGCACAGCGGTTAAGAATCCACACTTTGTTTTCAATGGCGCATTATAGGCCTCTATGCTTTTGGGCCGAAAAATAGAGCCTAAGTCGACGGGGCTGTGGTCCTGAACAGACTCAGCATGTTGACGTTTTTGGACTGGGTTGGTTCAAGATCATTGAATGATCGATGGGCGCAAAAGCACGGCTCATAAGAACCCAAGCATGAAGGGCTAGAGTTATGAGCGACTTAGGAATAGCCACAGTTGAATCTAGTTGCTGGTTGCTCGTGGCTATGTAGACTTTTTACATCTCAGACCACTTTGCCCCCTGACAGAATACTAAATTAGAGTTTTTTGAACTTTCTCTGCTGTAAATGGCACAAAGACGCTAAGCTAAATGAAGGGTACCGATGGTAGTGTTCATGGTAAATTTCATATGAGATCTTTGGTGTAGAGCATTGACAGCTAGAGATATTGATATTTCAAGAATGTTGCAAGCTTTCGAAGCACTATAGTCCTTGCGGTCATCTTTGTATTATGAGCTATATTCAGCTTTCCAATATCTCGACTGACGTTGTCATAACGTCCTTAACCATCAGTTTTCCTTATCCGTTGTTGTGATTATTGCGATAATTGTGGTTTCGGAGCATGTTAGGCAGTGCCTTTCCACCGGCAGGCTTCTAGGGTATCGTTTCGATTCTCTCACTTCACCAAGCGTTTTCGTTCTTTTAACTTCTCTTCAACCGATGATAGTTGTGAATACTGACATCTGTTGTCTCAATTGGGTATACCATCAAGATACAACTATCGAAAACACGACAAACTATTCTTCATACCGTGGCCATGAATTGCTGGTATCACAATAATCACAAGCGTCCTCTAGAGCCTTCAAATCCCTTCTCACCACCATGTTTACTTCATATCTGAACTTTTCATGACTGAACCAATGTAATCCTGAAGGTAGTCATTTTCGTGTGTATATTTCTCGCAAACGGCCTGAGAGTCACGCACATTCTGGAGTAGTTTGGTGATCTCCTCCTTGAGATGTAGCACCTCTTCCACTTTCTGCTGTTTGGCTTCACTCATAGTAGTTGAAGATTCACTATCAGCGCGCTCTGATATACACTAGAAGCTTAAGGTCGGTACAGACATACGATTTTTGGCACTACATTGAAATGAACTACAAAAGTTTTTCGATTAGCTTGAACAAAAAATAATCTTCAAAACACCACTCTATGAAATGACTTAGATATCTTTCTTTGTCAAGTCACTCATGACAATACTACGTGGGCTTCCATGCATTTCGCAGCCAAAAGGCTGATCCCTATAGTCACTCAATCCTGTGAAGTCCCTTGCTTGATCAATAAGCATTTTTTTCTTGGATTCACGAAAAAGCTCTTTTCTTTTCTACTATTACTGCCACAAAGCCCACTGGAGGATTCGACAGAATCAACGCCTTCCACAGTCGTGCGTTACCCAATAGCCAGCCACCGGCCAAATTGAGAAAAAATGAGCTAATCCTAACCAATTTGCTACAAACTACATCATGTCTACTATTCTTGACAAATCTTTGGACGACATCATCTCCACCAGAAGAACTAAAAAGCCTCAGGGCAAGAAGAAGGTCGTCGGTAAGGGCGTGGGCAAGGTTCAGAAGAAACAACCTGTTTCTTTCCAGAAAGTGGCCAAGAAGGTCGCCCCCCAGCCCAAGCCAGCTTTGGATTTGACTTACGCCACTAAGGTGGTTGCTCAGGGCTTGCCCCGTGACTTGAAGCAAGATGCTATCAAGGTATGTTAACGATTTCTCAGGATGAGGATCGGGAAGAGAAGGAAGTAGTCTTGAGCTTGCCTGGTGCAAGGGATTGACGAATCTTCTCAGTGAGCTTCGTGTGATTTGTGAGAACATTTCGAATGAGCTCAGCTGGCGGGCCAGATGAAGCCAAGACGCGTGTCTGGGTTAATGGCCGCCATTCTATGAGGTTGTCGGCGAGCGGATGGTATTTGAATGATAGGCCAAGGGATAGGCATATGGAATGGGATCGACCGATACATAAGGGTAACATTATTCATTTGGGAATTTGGAAAACTGGGAATTGGGATTATCACACATTTTTGAGAAATGGGCACTTAAGGATCATATTCATTGCACAGGACACATACAACCCTGTGCAAGCAGCATTAATGCTTGAAAAGCACAACAAGTCATCTTCATCGAATCATAAGCTGCAACTGATTTTGACTTTTGGCAGCTGGACTGTCACACCTTTTACTTCACGCCCCCCATCACCTATCCCTTTATCATTCACACCGCCGAATACATTGCGTTTCAAGCAATGCACATGTTTGAAATTCTGTTTCTGAACAGTGTCAATGTGTCCGCAGGGACCCGCAACCATATCATGGTCTGGTGCATCACAGCGTCTCAAAGAGACCACGATCTCACATTCCTGATTACCCCCCTTTTTTTCACAGTTTTAACTAACAAACGTAGGAATTTTTCCAGTCGCAAGTTGGCGGTGTGTCGCACGTGTCGATGAACTACAACGAGAAAGGTCAGTTCAGAGGTGTTGCCACGATCGTGTTCAAGTCGCACAAGAACGCTGTGCTGGCCGTGGAGAAGTACAACAATGCTCCAATCGACGGCGGCAAGTCCAAGTTGAAGATGGAGTTGATTGTTGACCCAACCAGAAAGCCTTTGGCCGCTAGAATCAGTGCTAACCTGCCAAAGCCTGTCCAGACACCTCAGACAAAGAAGAAGCAGGCTCTCAAGGAGAAGGTGCAGCAAAAGAGACAGCAGCTCCAAAAGAAGCCTGTTAAGCAGACAAAGGCCAAGGCTGCTAAGCCAGCCAAGAAGACTGCTGAGCAGTTGGACCAGGAGATGTCTGACTACTTCAACAACTAAGACAGTGGCCCATTGGCTGCTCACCCATGGCTCGAGATGGGTTTGTAAAAGTATATATGTTGATATAGGATCCATGTTACAGGACAAGGACCAGACCCTACAGCCGTATGGGGGTAACTGCACATACGCATTCTCGACCGTTGGTGCGGTACCACAAACGGTGATAGTTTCTTAGGGCGCCTACTACTAATGTATTCGTCGCGCTAATACTAGACTAAAACACGTATGCCCAATATCGATTATATCATAACGGCAGAGTTCCATGTGGACAAGGGGCCTTCCATAGTCCATCAACATCCTCAGAATATTCCTGGCTATGACTTTCTCCCGTTTCTTCCCGAGCTTATGCTTCCTGACCAGATCCATCGTCGAGAGGAGGACTTTACCCTTTTCCTCCTTTTCAAGAACAAGAGTACGGGTCACTTCCAGTATAAAAATGATGGCCAATGTGAAGATGACATTTACTTCATGTACACGGTTGTAAAGAATGTCAGCGACGATACGGTGAGAAGAGGTCTGATAATCAAGGCTCTCTGTATCATCACAAAACTACCCTATTTCAAACACTTCCGGCCATTGCTCTTGATATGTTTGGACAGCTACTTTGAGAGTGACGATCCAAGTCTTCTCGCCGAATTATACACGGCTATCAATTCTAATGACTTCAGCGTGAACAGCACTGAACAGTCGCTACTCAAAAGACTCCTTATCAGTCTGGTCCTCGACTTGCCCATCAGTGACAAGATCTACAATGACGAAAAGTTTAGAAATAAACTTTTGGGTATCAAAAAACCGAACGAAGAGATATTCATTCGTAAGGATTTATCATACAACTCAGTTGTGACCTTCAGAGGTATGAAAATACCCGTCAAAGTGCCGCTTTTGCAGCTTCCAGACACTGTGGGAGACTACATGAACCCAACGGATCTTAATTTGAAACCCAATCTTATCAATTTGTTGAGCGCTCGATTGGCGACCGATCACCACAATAATGAATTGACCATATATGGACTCGCCACACCACCCATCATTGTTTTAATCAATGCAATCTTGACCGGAAAAAGAATCATATTCTTGAGTTATGATAATTCAGCGGGGCACATCATTGACTTGATCTTGCTAACGTTAAAAGTGGTCTCAGGTGGAGGTATACTCACAGGTATCCTCAAGAACTACAACGTGTTCCCGTTGATCGATCTTTCCAAAATTGATCTCTTGTCTGAATGTGATTCCTACTTGGCGGGTACCATCAATCCTTTTTTTAAAGCTCACGAAGCCATCTGGGATCTCCTTTATGACATTGATGCAAATGAGTTCCACGTTGCCTCCGCTCTCAAGCAGCCCGAGATTCTGAAAAATTCAATCATAAGTGAGGATGCACGATTTTTGTCTAATTTGCAATTTTCCCTTTTCACTTATAGTGATGACTTGACTACGTTGCAGCTAATATTCCGCAGGCACATCAATGAGCTCATACGAATCTTGGTTTCTCTGCGGAATTTTAACGATCCGGGCAACAGAAACCGAACGCTTCTCATGGACGGAGTAGGATATTACTGGCACAGTGACACCAGCAAGCTCGTTGAAATGTCATGCTACCAAATAATATCTTCAAGGTTCCAAGACCTCATGTACTCGGGAAAATTCTCATACAGCTTGCTTCTACCTAATATGTCCAACGAACTCAACCTTATGATTGACCTACAACACCACTTGCAAAAATTGTACAATGTGACCAATGCGAAGACTACACCAGCGAAGGTGAACGAACGTGAGGTTTGGTTCAACATCCTCAAGTACCTCATCAGTGGTAAGTCTTTGGAAACGTTCCTTCTCGTCACTTACCTAATACCCCCCAACTCCTCGACCAGTTTGCAGAGCTCCGGCGCACATGGCGGCAACATGACGATATTCGACAAGAATAAAGGTATTGAGCTCCTACTTATGAACCTATTCAACCAGGACGACCAGATCAAGCTGAATGTGGTCATGATTCTTCAGGAGCTACAAGACAACTTTTTCTGCGGTTGGTGCCTCAATAATTTTATGAAGTCTAATTACGTTTATGAGGTTGCATTCAATGACCTTGTGGACGCCATGTGAGCCAAGAGACCCTATGCCAATGACGCCAAACGCCATCGTTATGCCAAAATCCACTCTTTATATCCCAACTACAAAAATCCGACAGTAACGCCCAATGCTATTCACAAGTTATTATCCTATTTACACGCCTAATTCCTCTCGTCATTGTCCCTGGAGTTCTTATTCTTGAACACATTCCACATACTCAAGCGGTCGCCAGGGGTTCTCGACGAGTACGCCTGGCCAGCACCCACATACTTGGATTCACGCCCCTTACCCTCGTAATTGAGATTTGGGTTATTGGAGGGAAATCCCCTGCGCTTATGGCTATCTTCAAATTCTTCGCTATTTTCCAAGCTGGTGTCGCTGTCTTTCAAATGTCTCTCCTCCTTGTGGTGAGCAATGTGTTTCTTCCCCAAGATAACGAGACCCACAGCACCGGCGCTGTAAAGCACCAACTTTGTGACCAAGCCTCTGCTGGTTTCCATGATGAAAAGTGGTTTGAGGTTTTGTCCTGCAGCTGAGGGGCCCTTGTCCTCATACAATATCCTTTCAGGTTATGAGAGGCAGGCCGTGCGATCTCAATGTGGGGACTGGAAGCAAACGTGAATCTGACACAAAAGTAGGAATCGCCCGATTTAGGCAAAGACGGGCATTTCAAGCCATTCAATAAGGAAAAGTTGTTCTAAAACCTTCACACCAGGCTCGTGTTTCAGAAGTTACCCGAGGACCCAGCCGCATCGGCAGCCGACCGGGGGTATTTTCAGTGCACCATTGTGAGGAGCCCAAAAAGGCCGAGCGAAGAAAAAAAGTGACATTCTCAACCTAAAATCTATAGTGCTACGTGCTGATTTCAGACTACCCGTCTTGAAACCCACCATACTAGTCACGTTGATTTCACCAATTTATATTGTCATAACGGCCGTCACCGTGTGCGTCCTTGCTGCTACCATGGGCTCCTTGCAGAAATTGAAGTTTTTGATAAAGTCGTTTATCTTCGGCTCGTTAATCTCCACCTGTGCCCTCTACGGCGTGGTGGCCTCTATTTTCCTTCGACTCATCGGTAAAGCAGAATATGCCCAGTACACGGTGGCCAAGGTTTTTTACTGGCTGTTCAGCCATCTTATGGGTATCACCATCACCGTCAAGAACGAACATTTGTTGCATCGCAAGCCATCCGTGGTCATTTCCAACCACCAGTCGGCTTTGGACATCTTAGTCTTGGGCAAGATCTTCCAGCCCGGCTACACTGTCACCGCCAAAAAGGCCTTGAAGTATTTCCCCTTCTTGGGCTGGTTTATGCTTGCTTCTAAGACATTCTTCTTGGACAGAGCCAAGGGCGAAAAGGCCAGAAAGGTGTTGGACAGAGCGCTTTTGAGCTTGAAGGAGAACGACAGATCGCTTTTTATGTTCCCTGAAGGCACCCGTTCTGCCACCAAGAAGTTGGATATGCTTCCTTTCAAGAAGGGTGCGTTCCACCTCGCCAAACAGGCCAAGATCCCTGTCATTCCAGTGGCTGTTCAGAACTACAGCACCTTGTTCCTGTCCAGGGACAAGATCTTCAAGACTGGTGAAATCGTCATTGAGGTTTTGGAACCAGAGCCCACCGACCACTTGGAGACCAAGGAGGACGTTGACGAGTTGGCTCTTCTGGTGAGAAACAAGATGCTCAAGTCTATTGAGCTGATGGGCTACGCATCCGTCACGGGCCAGAAGACCACCCCACCACCTCCTGTTGTTGATTCCCAGGATGCTGCCTCCGAGGAGAGTATCGAGCTTGTTTCCGAGTCGACCCCATTGATCTCGACCGATTAAGCCTTAGCTAGAGCATGTACAATACCTAGAAATTAGAAAGCAAGCGTAGAAGAGCCAATCAAGCAAGGTTCACCAGCAAAGGGGTGAGTAAAGCTCCCTCGGCATACGATGGGATATTTACAAATACCACTTAGAAAATGCTGGAAAGGCACATACAGCTAGATTCACAGACGTGAGGCTGAGCAGTCGTGAATTGTGCAATTTCAGGGAATCAATCTAGTGTATCTGCGCCTTAACCTCCTGGCATACCTACCACATCATGAAAACTCCCAAATTTGACCTTAAAACTCTAAATGTCCCTCAAGCTGTTCCAAGCTGCTTTCCAATTATTTCAAATCGGGAAAACTGTCACTGGAAAAAATATTCCACAGGGTGTGAGTGAGCCGCTTGCCAATACGCGTTTACATTACTAATTCAGTTAGGGTTTGAGTGTTTTTCGTGATTACAGCAGTTTCATTATCTGAAAACGAAAAAAGCTTTTCGAAAATTTTGGTTCTTCCATCGAGGGGCATCCCTGAGACACGCCCAATGAGAATATTCAGACGCGTAGCTGGGTCTTGATATTCAGCCATTGTCTCACAATTGGCGAATGAGCCACGTCCACTCGCAAAGCCACAACCGTAATTAGTAGTTTTACGTGATGCAGCAATGAAAAAAAACAAGAAAACTTAAAAGAACTAAAAAAATAAAAAATACAATAGCTTTAAGGGCCATTGGTTGTAAAGTAATCTGATTGGCTTGAAATGATTAAACAGTAAGAGCTGCAATCTAGCTCCCGGTGATTCGGAAGTGCCCCTACTGATTCACAGGACTGACCGAGACACACTTGAAACAGCATGCATCGCCAGGTCTAGAAAAACTCGGAAGATACCACAATCTTCAAAATCTCTACAAGTTCATTCGACCCATCCCTTAGAATTATAAATTACTTCCTCTCGAGAAAACCCTAACCTCTGTATTACGCCTTCTAACTCATTCATCACCGAACATCAGCGGCAGAAAAAAGCGCGTCTAGGAACAAAAACCAACAACACCTTTTTCCCAGAGCCAATGTCAGAACCCGACTTGCTGCACCACTACAAGGTGCTCAAACAGTTTCTTGATATCCTGGATGACCTGGGCAGCAGGACAAAGCTGAACCTGCTGCGTGCCATGCGGGCCAGAGAAAAGCTCCTCAAATTACTGGGGGCTCAGTTCCGTGAATTAAGTACCGATGTCTACGACGAGTTGAAACGTCGAATTGACGAGTCACAGGCCGAGCCAGACTTTTTGCTTCCCAAGCTGACGTTCCACCCAAAAAGAAACCAGGCCAGACAGAAGCTCTCGCTGTTGCCTCAAACCAGGTTCAAGGACTTGGTGCTGGATATCAGCTACGAGATCTCCAGAAGAAACTTGCACATCCCGCCCGAGAAGCAGGCGCCACCCCCATCGGAAACTGCCTCAGACAGGGATATCCGCCGCTCTCACGACACTGAGCCTTCTGTTCCTTCCGCCCCCTCGGTGCGCTCAGATCGCGATCAGAGCCACCGTATCGATGGCCCACAAGATGTATCCCATCTGACCGTGGATGAGCCTGCCGCCAACTCCACAACGCAAGATCCGGACATTCTGCAGCTTTCTCATGAAGAGAGTAAGCAGACCATCGCAGTGCAGCCCACGACGGTCATTCCAACCAAGGCGAACTTGACGTGGTCCAGTGACGAAGAGGAAGAGGACGACCATAGGGCTATTAAGGGCGCCGCTGCCGGAGCAGGCGTTGGTGCGGCAGCAGGTATTGCAGCCAAGAGTCTCATGTCGAATGGAAACAGCAAGGAGGTAGAGGATCTCAAGCTGGCGCTTCAGAAAGCTGAAGAGCGGGCCAGCGAGCTTGAAAGAGCGAACGAGGAGCTTAAGAGCAACCTAGCTACAACTCTATCTCAGAAAGATACACTTGAGGCCGAGAACAAACAGCACCTTGCGAGAGGCACCGATACTAAAGAGCTCAATACCAAGGAATTCAATGCTCTCAAGGACGAAATTGAGGGCTTGAAGTCTTCCGCTGCGGCATTGAGGTTGGAGAACCAGGCTTTGAAGAACAAGAATTGGAAAGACTCTCGTCACCAATCCCGCGACCTTGCTGCTCTTTCTAGAGAGAACTCGCTGTCTGGCCAATTGGCTTCGCTGCCAGGCCAGCTGGGATCTCGTCCTCACTCTGGCTCCCTCAACCATGCAGTTGACCTCGCTACTAGAGGCTCACCAACTCACTCGCCTTCTAGAAGCATCGCCTCAAATCGCTCGGGCCCTGATGTCAATAGCGAGTTGAAGAAGCTTCACGAGAAGATGGCTGCCTTGGACGCGCCACAGAACTTGCCCTCGACATCGAGAAGAGAGAGTCTGTTGAAGGCAGAGGCATCGAAGTGGCAACAAAGATACCAGGATGTCCAGGCAGGTATTATCAAGAACAATCTTCTATCAAGCCTGCCTCAATTGCAGAAGCATGTGTCGCCTTCGGGCTTAATACCCTCACAGAATGCTTCTGAGTTCTTTGCATCCATCGAAGCATTTTTGATCAGCCTCTATGATGACGAGGCAGATTCAGAGCTTCTCTTTGAAAGAATTTCCAATGTCGCCCTTCTAGCGAACAAACTTGCTTCAGTTGGCAATAAGAGCGCCCTTTATGAAAACGACCACCTCGCTGTTAATGTCAGAGAAGCCGCTGGCCATTCTTTGACTGCCACAAGATATTACGGCTCCAACAAGAAAATCCTTCCTAGAGTCGTTGTCGAGAGAAGCGTCGACGAACTTGCATTCACAGTGTGTGATCTTGTCTCCACATGTAAATTATCCGATGGCACCGTTCCCCAAGAACAACCAATTCCTGTTCCTGACCAATCTAAAGATTCCAATGATGCTATACGACCCCTCAAAATTGGAAGATCGACCAACCTCAGTCCTCCAGAGGACAACCACAACTACAACGACCAGTCTCGCGGTTTGAGCCCGATGGAAGACTTCTCGACACCTAGGCTGCGGGGCTTGTCCGCTGACAATCTACAGCGTCAAGAAGATGAGCCTATAGATAGCCCCAGTCCATCCAAGATTCTTCCAGGATCATTGCCAGTAAATGAAGCTGTCGAGCAGGAGAATACAAAGAAGGAGGAGCCAGTGAAGAAGTTGACTATGTTCGAAAGGCTTTCGGGTACGAGGAAGAAGGAGAATAATTCATCCGAACCAGCTCCTCCTCAAGAGTCTGTGAAGCCTAGTGAATCTACATCGAACCCCGGCATCACAAGCAGTGTTGGTACTGGTGCTGTAGCGGCTGGAGCCCTTGGAGCTGCTGCTATTGGAGCCTCTGCCGTTGGTGCCGCTAGTACCGATGCTACTCCTAACGGCACCAATGATTCAACTACTGCTAGCGAAGCCAAGGACTTCGAGTCGAAGGATCGCTCTTTGACCGAGTCCAACACGAGTTCCAAACCAGAAAACCTCATCAATAAGAAGGTCCCCGAGTCCTCTGAGGGTGGCAGAAGTCCTTCGCAGAACAAGGAAAACTTAGCCCCATCAACTCCACACTCTGCTTCGAAGACGAATATCTTGGATAAGGTCAGACAATTCGAGAGTCCAGAGGAATCGCCTTCAAACAGACTCATCTCCAAGACGAAATCTCCCTCTCTGATGTCGGTCAAGAATGCGAAGGAACTATTTACTGAGAAAGCTACCGAATCAGCAAGCCCAAGCCAGCTGAGCCCAAATGCATCTAAATCTAACGACAATACCCCAACAAGAAGCAGAAGTCTATTCCAAACTTTGAGGAACAAATTCGCTGGTGAGGCAAAGGCTGAAGAGGAAAAGGTGGATGAAGATAAAGAGGCCAAGGAGACCGAAAAGCAGACTGTCCAGCCAACCGTTCTCCCGGAATCAAACGGCAAGCATGTTGATGTGAAGGATAGTGTCACTAAGGCTGCTGTTGGTGCTGCTGCTGGAGCAGCAGCTTATGTGGGAGCTGATAAGGTTGCTGACAGCATCAAGCAGCTGGACGAAAAGTTCACTGACGATGGTGACTTGAATAAGGAGCCCGTGGACAAGTTTTCCGACGCACAAGACGACGAAGCAACTCAGAATGAAGAACCCATTGTCACCCAGTCTGAAGCAAGATCCATAGATGCCGATGAAGAGCAGGGTTTGAAACCTAAACCCTCTTTGAAGTCGCTTTCAGGAAAGCTGCCATCGTTCAAGGTAAAGAAGGTCAATTACGCTGAACAGCAGGAGGAGCCAGAGGAAGAATCTGAAGAGGACAGCGACTATGACGATCAAGAGGAAGAAGCTAGACAAAGACAGGAGTACAGGAAATCGATGGCTGCTGCGACGTTTAACTTCGATTTGTTCGACATTGACGACCCTGACAACACATTGACGCAAGTTTTGCTTTACTTAGAGCACCAAACAGTGCAGGTTATTTCGACTATTCAAGACTTGTTGACGGCGATCAAGAAGCCAGATGCCACACGTGGTGAGTTGAGAGAGAATTCCAAGGCTATATCGGAGGTGATCAAACAAATGGCGGATGCTACTAAGACGTCTATGAACCAGACGAGGAATCATCAATTGAAGGAGCACGGTTCTTGGGTGGTGACAAGTTTAGAGGACTGCAACCACCGCATGAACAACCTCTGCCGTCCTAATGCGGACAAGAGCGACGAGGAATTTGCCGACAAGAATTTCAAACAGCGTCTTGCCGGTATTTCTTTCGACATTGCCAAGTGCACCAAGGAGTTGGTCAAGACTGTGGAGGAGGCCAGTCTCAAGGAGGATATCGCCCAGCTTGACGCAAGGCTCAACCAGCCTGATGACGACTTGACTTAAGCCGTTGAGGCTGCTGTACATTAGAATCAAAAAATGCTATCATGAATGAGGTCGTAGTCTATCGTATGTACTTGGAGAGGAATTGCCGGTGTTTATCCGAATTAACCGAGTCCGTTGTGAACTTTGTTTCGCTCTCTTCTTTCTTTTGCGGGGGTTTACTTCGAAACGGTGTATTTCTCCAACCCTTCTTTCGTAGTTCAGGTTTTTGTTCGTCCTTGGCTTTCTTAAGTTCAGCAATCACTTCCCTGGATTCCTTGTTTTCCCCATCTTCTCGTTCGTCATCAGATAGACTACCACTTTCCGTACTTGAAGCATCAGTATTTGGCGACTCCTGGTAGTCCTCTGTCTTTGTTCGTTTGTTGACCTTCTCCGATTCTTCTAGGCTTCTCTTGGAAGGACCTATTTTAGCACCTTCGATGTCGGGTCTAAGCTTGAGCTCTGCTTGTCCAGCTAGTGCACGTGAGTGCTGAATGGTATTTTTAATAGCATTATCTCGACCTCGCTTGCTTTCTAGCGTAGGCCTATGGTTAGTCGTCATGGTGGTTGTTCGCACTAAGTTGATGTGTGTAATGAGGTGACAGAGAGGAGCTGTACTATGATAATTAGGGAAATTTGATTGCTAGGATTTTTGCAAAAATGACGTATTAGAGGATGTCTTTTCCTAGTTTTGTTCTTCCCGCATAATCCTGCGTTTTTCGATAATTTCCATACATGAGCAAGTTCGATGTATTGATGACGAAATTGATGCCTTGTTATGCATGGTCCAGGTACCTCGCAGCGCAACACCTGAAAGAGTAAGTAGGAATGGCCTGGAAGGACTCATATAATTTTAGGTGATTCTGAAAAATTAGGATATTTTTGCTTTTCAATATATTATTGTTCTATGTGAAATCCTCGCTGAGCGTGATACGGCGATGTTAATAATAGGCTTGAACTCGTCGTACAACTAGAACCTTCTGATTTCGGCCTATGTCTCTACAGAGTGAAAAGCTCCAAAACGAGTCATCATGAAACTCGCGAGTAAGGTCTTTTAATATACAAATGTTTTATTGCTTGAGCAGTCCGAATAGCTGGCAATCAGTAGCTACCCAGGCATGATCGACCAGAACGTAAATCCGGAAAACAGGTATTAAAACATTTCCCGAATCGCCCACGGCATAGCCCTTTCTTTTTAAGGCAGACTGAACTACTCTTCACCGCTTTCAATCTCGTCCTCCCATCCGTCGTCATCGTCGTCGTCGTTTCTTTTCTCGGGCAACAAGTCAGCCATAATGGGTCCTCCCAAAGCAGTCAAAAGCTCGGAGACCTGGCCAGCCACATCGGGATCCATTGCTTCAGCAGCCGCACTGTTCAACACCCTGTAACCTTGAGTGAGTCCAGAGCGTGCTTCATGAAGAGAAGACTGCACGTTTTCGTCTGTGGATGCCTTGACTTCTTCCAACTCGATCTCTCTGTAGTCGCTATCTTTGGGAACCGAGCCTGGGTTGGCCTCACCGTAGATCTGCTTCGCCCGAAGAAGATGGGACAAAGCTTCGTAGTAAAATGCATCAAGAGCATTGTCATTGATTTCAGAGACAGCAGCAGCAATTGACGGAGCAGTATCGTACATCTCGAGCTCGATAGCAAATCTAGCAAGACCAAGTAATGGTTGCACTAGTTCGACGTATTCAAGAGAAGCATCGTGGGCATCTTTGGCCTCTTGCTCCAAGGCAGCTTTTCTTTCTTGAAACAACTCCCACGAACGAAGCAATGCCTCCCTAGCCTCGTCGTTCTTCTGTTGAGAGATCCTGATCGAAGCCAAAAGCGACAATGCCTCAGGGTTGGACTCGTCAAGACTCAAGGAGTGGGAGATCAACTTGTCACATTGCTCCTCAGCCTCAGGCTCCATGCACAAGTCAGTCATCCAGACTTCAATCTCGGCAAATATTCCCTGGTTCAACTTCTTGATGAGATGTCCGGCCAAGTCCTCCAGGGAGGGGTACAACTTTGCTAACTCCACGAGCACTGTGTCGTCAGAACCCAGGTTATCCACCACCTTCTGGAGCTGGTCTTGGAGCTTACTCAAAGCGATGTTCACATACCCGATACCGTCGGCACCGCCAATGATCTGGCCCAAATATAAGAATTTGTCGACACCCTGAGCTCCTTCAGGATCCAAAGATACCGCCTTTTCCAACACATTGTAAGCCGACTCCACGTCGTTGGCTTCTAGAAGACACTCTCCAAACACCTCGAGGAGCCGAGGATTGTCCTGATGCTTGGCCACTTCCGGAGCCAAGAGCTCCATTGCTTTTGTCTCCTGGGACGTCTGGAGGAGCGCCCTTGCTCGTGCAATCACCTGATCCATGAAGAGTGAGTTGGTGATGATTTCGAGATGAGTGGTGAATTTCGCGATAGGCGATGAGGAGGTGGGTTTGAGGTAGGTGGGTGATACATAGGGAAGAATTGAAGAAATTAGGGAAGGCTTAGTCTTTATGGATTTTGAGTTTCATGGTCTGCTTAGTATTTTGTTCTTTGGGCTTAGTTGAGATTTTCTTGGTGCCTTTGGTATGGCTGCAAACGAACCAAACAGGGAAGTTAGGCCCTCGATGGGGCAATTCATATGAAACGAGAGTGGCAATGATTAAGAGATGGAATTGAGACATCGTGCTTTTGAAAAGTGCTTTCGAAGGAAGATTTGTTTCTGAGATGATATGGACTGCTTAGGCAATAATACAGCCACTCGTCAGTAGCTGAAACGCCATCTAGTGGTTATACTGGTTAAGAAAAGCTTCCACCACTTGAATACCTTTTGAACGAGTTTCTTCCGGAGAATCACTAAAAAATTCGTTCTACCTCGGGCCTACTTTTCAAATCCAACCTCACCAGAGCACACAAGCTAGGAATATCCACGCTTGAGCCACACCTTATCTTTGAAAGCCAATCATTTCAGTGTCGTGAAATCGAAGGCTGGGCCAACTTCGTCAATACGGGCATTGACAAATACTCCTTCGAATATCAATTGTCGTTCACCTCATCAACATCTCAGTACGTCATCGCATCGCGCCTACTACTCATCTACATGCTACCGAAAGATAAGCTCGAAAGGCTCCAAACAGAGTATGCCATCCTTCATCTCGTGTACCATAGAAACTACAATCAGCATCGTGTGGCCATCTGGTGGCGATACTTGAACATGTTTCACCGTGGCGTTCGAAAAGTGCTTCGAGGGATATATGAAGCAGAGGAGACAAAGAAGATCAAGAGACGAGAGGAGATACAAAAGGAAGTGGTACTGACAGCAAATCACTTGGTTCTCCGAGTCATGAAAAGAGCATACTACCATTTCAACTCTGTCATTGCGCTAGGGCAGTTTGTCAATTTGGGCTTTGTCTTGGTTGCCAGTTTGAGTGCGCTACGACTGTTGTTAATGGAGATCCAAGGAGTCGGAGTCAGAGGAAGACAAGTTGAGCCAGAGGAGGTTGCACAAGTGGAGGATGACGTTGGAGAGGAGGTGGTTTTTGAGCTGGTATCGAAAGCTCCTCCTGAACCGTTGATGAGTATGGATGTAATGGCGGAGGCTTCAATTGAACAAAAGCCGAAGAAACAGAAGAGTGAAAAGAAGGGTGAGAAGAAAACCAAAAAGAAGAAAAAGAAATCTGCTATCGACGATATCTTCGGATAGTATTCCATTATGTCTATAGACCCTGCGTTATGGCGCAGGATAAACAAAACCAAGCTAAACCAAGCTTAACCAATCATTAACCAAAAAAAGTAAACCAAATAACTCCTTATATTACAACATGTCCTGTTCTCGTTAGTATCCCTTTTCTCTAATCATCGTCTCGTCACCATGGAAGCCCATCGGCATCTGCATCTGCATCTGCGTACGAATGTGCGCTGGAATCTGTTGCTGGTAGAACTTCTGTGGCTGCTGCTGCTGCTCAAACACCTGCTGAGGCATTTGTTGAGGCATTTGCTGAGACATTTGTTGAGGGAATTGCTGAGGCATCAGCTGTGAACTCATGGGCATCGATGGCACCATACTCTGCTGAAGTAGCATCTCAGGGGTAGGAATAGGGACGCTTAACTGTTCTGTGTCGAGACAGAAGCCATCATCGTAATCATCAGGAGAAAGCGCCTGGACATCACCGAGGGTGATGCCTTGAGGAACCATCTCTACGGCCGGCAGTTCGTGCTTGTGCTGACCAGGGTGTTGCATCAAGTGGCTCAGTGTGGAAGAGGGCGAGTCGTTGTATTCGCAAGACGACGCCGTTGGTGGCATAGGGGTGGTCATGGAGTTTGGAGTGCCCATGATGGGTGACTGAGTGTTCTGTACTGGGAGCTTGGTTTTTCTTTGCTTCGTACGGCGCTGTTCTCTCATCATTCTTGCAAGCTCCTTCTTGAGTCTGTTCTTTATACGAGACTTTCCTTTGAAACCTGGAGGGAGGTACTTGCACTCGCCACCTTCGATGTGGATTTCACACCAGACCTCACCGTTTTCAAACCACTCACCGCACATGGAGCAGTTACCCGCGGATGAGTTCCGGGCCTTGATGGGGGTGTTCTCTGGGTACTTAAAGTGGCGGGACTTCAAATGCGTCTTGTAGGTATCACGACGAGAGAAGCCGCCGGTGGGGTGGCACTTGTGCACCACGTCGTTGTCGTCTTTGTAGATGGAGGATTTGTGGAAGGGGCATTTGTAAGCCTTTTCGGAAGCGTGCTTCTTCATATGACGGGTCAAATAGCCACGCATCTTGAACAGGGTGTTGCAGTGTGGACACTGGTGGAGTTGGTCATCGGCGGATTCGCCGGCACCTTCATCTTCCTTGCCCGAGGCCTTGTCATCGTCCAGCGCCGTCGACAGAGGAGTGTTCACCTGTGCCACGGACTGCTTGTCGTAAACAACAGACTCATTATTGCTGGAGGAGGAGGAGGTCACTGGGGACAAGATGTTGTCTTCTTTCTTAACCGTAGAAGGCTCATGGTGGATACGAAACGCTTCGAGCTCCAGTCCAGGAGGAAGGTCCTCCGTGAAGGCCCACTCGATCTCACCCTTGCTGTTTTTGAAGGGCAAAAGACGGGTGGTGATACCTGTGCTACACGGGATCGGGCGGGCTCTGGAGGCCTCTTCCTCCTCGTCGCTCTCGATGGAGACGTTGCTGATGGAGGGAAAGAGCGACGGGGTGTGGACGGACTCAGCTTGGGATTTGTGTTGATCCAGAGCGATTTTGGCTGGGGCGAGGAGTGCTGATATCAAGGACAAGAGCCACACTAACGGCGCAAGGAAAGCAAAGTGAGCCAGTAAAAGCTTTATGTGGGATTCGATTTTGTGTACTTCGAGCATGGCGGGGGAGCAGACGGGCGTATTATATGGGAACAGGGAAGCAAGCAGTCGCTTGCGATTATGTAAGCTTTTTTTTTGGGAATAAACTGTTCAGGGAAGCCCGAGGAAGAAGGTTGAGCAGAGAGGCGGTGGTGATTTTATTGGTTTTTGTATGGTGATAGCTTCGCGAAAGGAGCACCCGTGACCGGGAAGGACAGCGACTTTTTTTTTTGTAGCGGTCGTGTGCAGGCCAAAAAGTCCTCGGTGAGCCCAAACACAGTAATATTGCACGGCCTGTGGGCGCCTCACGAGAGGACCGGGGATTGGAGCAGGCTTACAATACAGCTGCGTGGGGGAAGATTCTGCCAACTACAGCGCAGGTTTCACGCTGTGTACAGGATGTTGCACCCTAAACGAGCTCACAATGGTGGGGTAGGGCGATGTAACGTGGGTGGAAATGCAATTCCACACGACACTTGTTCGTCAGGTTAGAGGCCCTGCCCCACTGATCCTGGGGAACTCACCCCACTCCGAAAATTTTTCCTGATCGGCTTTAATTTTGGCTTGCGGTGAGGGATAATAAGAAGGGTAAACTTCCCGGCGGCAAAAATAAAAGGTAATTTTTGTGCTTGCTGTTTGTTGAATTCGTTGAGTAATATTTCCTCTACTCGCTTGTATTTTTGGAAGTCGCCAGACGCAGACTCCGCCAGATCTCAGGAAGTCCTCCATAGGGACCGGACGTGCAAGTCCCACCCGAAATAAGCAACCCGTTCAATTTCTGACGTCAGGTGGGTCGATCAGGGACTATTGTGAAAACAATGTATAAGGGTTTTGAAGCAGTTGGTTGCAAAACGCGGGCTCGGACTTGTTGGACACAAGGGATATTTCAAATCAAGGGTCACTTCAAGGAGAGGTGCTCGAATGCTGCTTTCTCACTTTTGCCCATTGTCAAAGCCTCGTTTCCATTTCTATTTTCTGTCATTCCGCTCGGCCCGTGGTCGGTGTTTTAAGTAGGACCCCGAGGCAGAGGGCTCTTGGCGATCGGGATGCGTTGCTATTGGAGAAACCTGGAACATGGGGAACAATGAAAAACGGTCGTTGTGCGGAAGGCCTAGGGCGTGTTGTAGGGCTAGACTGGTTGGCGTTGTGGGTTTCAGTAAGCAATGGCTGCGGCGGAAGGATCTGAAGATCGGCGGCTGACGAATAGGAGGATTTGTACGATTTTTGAAAAGTGCCTGTTTTGAGCGCTGTCGATCGAAAGTAGCGTTGACCAATACGCTCACCAACAGTGTAATTAAGAGAAACCTGGTACTGAACGGCTGTGATAGCCGCCCTGCCTCATGCCAGATCCATCGCAGGTGTTTCATTTGATCAGATAAAGTTACGAAAAAAATAACGAAATGAAAAAAGGTGTTTTGGGGAGGTGTTGAACAATTGGAGGGAGAGAAAACAGAAAGGGTAAAAGTTGGTGGGTGAGCTAGGCTACTGTACTTGTAGGATGTAAAGGTCAGAGGGTTTTTATGGTGGAAGCTGGAAAAGTGATGATGTTGGTATTGATCTCAGACTGTGGCATTAGACGGCCAATTGTATTGAAGAAAAAGATAATTCCGGTTCTGGCATCTCCAGCTCCTCATGGCTTAGGTTGATAGAGTGGAGTTTTTCACTATAAGTCAGGATGGAGAGCACTACGCTTTGCAACTCAATCGTCGCTATATTGTGACGTTATACAGAGAATCAGCACCCACCAAGGTAAGTTCACCGAGCTCTCCATTCCTGAACATACTGCCCTCCAGACGTGTTCGTACCTCGCTCTTGGTATTTTCCACTTTTGGCACCATGCATTCTGGCACAAGAGCCATACTCGGCCGACACAACCACTCTTTTCTCAAACCTAAGTTTTGTTATCCTTCCCTGACAGCTATACGCTTCTCTACCACCTCGAACAACATTTTCCAATTCTTCCATACCCAGAACCGGCTCGGCATCGCACCTACACCATTTTCGCGCCGGCATCAACATCAACCACACATGTCGGACTCTTT